CATAATGGTCCGGAACAGACGTTCGACGTCGCGCGTGTAGCAGGCCATTTACATTCCTGTGCCATGTTTTTGCATCAAGATATTCATTTCTTTGTTTTTAAGGAGGGTCTGTTTTGACACTGAATGTCTTACTTGTGGGTAGTACCGTAATGATAAAGCAGGAGAGAGAAAAGCGAGGTCTCTTTTTCTTAGTTTTAGTGCACTTTCGTGCTGGGGTTGACACAAGTCCTACCTTTCTGAAAAAGGAGGACTAAATCTTATTTTTCTAAATTTGTTTCCGAAGAAATCAAACTCTATTGAGTGTTATGGATTGACAACTTTACACAATGGATTAACATTCTGAAAAAGGAGGACTAAATCTTATTTTTCTAAATTTGTTTCCGAAGAAATCAAAATCTATTGAGTGTTATGGATTGACAACTTTACACAATGGATTAACAACTTCATATAATGGATTGACAACTTCAGGTAATGGCTTGACAACTTCACATAATTCACTGAGGACACGATCAAACTACTTTCACAGAGTAGCATTGTATTTTGGAACATTTGGCGCTCCATGTTTAAACACTGAGTTCAAGGGTTGTGCCGAATATTCGAATAACCGAATGTTCGATCACCTAATGCAAATTCATGAAAGGAAGGGGTAATTTTCCTTTCTTTTAAATGACAACATTGCACTATGGAGGCTTGTATCAAGCAGATTTAAATGAAAAGCGACAGAAATCCTACAACAATTAAAAGAGTCAACTATTCATTAAAAATTTAAAAGGAATAGAAATTTTCAACGGGCAAGAAGAATTGTCCGTCTCTCAAATCTTACTAAATCGTGGCTGGAAATACTTTTAGACGTGGGAAACTATTATAATGATCATAATGTACAATTATGTGTGTTATTGCAACTGATTTTGTATATGGTTTTATTCGTCAATAATGAAGGTCAGTATGATGATAATACAGTTAAGTATAAATAAATACACAGATCGCATACTTTGAATGCACCCTTGGTGTCTTTCAAGTCAATTTCATTTTCATGCACCTTTTCGTGAAATGTCCCATTGGCCGAATAATGCATTGCCACACGGTTAACGTCAGTATTCATTATAACAGGCAAATGCAGCCACTATTTCTTGTTGCATTGCATACACGGGTATAGTTTTGTATGTCATTTCCGTGTTTTGAAAATATCCTTGGCTGTGAATTGCCATATATGCCATTTATTTGTGAACCTGGATAGAAATATTTAGCGTAAATGACCCCAGTGAACAGTCAAGATGATTTATTCTTAACGGGACAGTACTGTATAATTTAACACGCGGAAATAGAGAGAGTGTGAAAAAACCTATTCACAACAAACACTTTCACCCAACCAGCATATTCAGAATGTCCAACTGAAATATCAAATCCCTTTCAAAATTAAAGACATACTCACGCTGATTGAGAAAGAGAAAGAACAGAACTAGCGTCGGCGCTTCCATCGCTATTCCAACTTTGACACAGGCTGTGGCTTAATACACGCATCTAATTCATTTACCCTCCAAACAAATGTATTGATTACATTCCGCCGTTGTTATTTTTGGAACACAATCATGTGATCACTGTACACATGCGTGTACACCAAACAGGAGTTTGGGGTTTCCCATTGTTGTCCCAAGATTTGCATAACAGTGTGCTGAACAAGTGAAGTGACCTGTTGTGGGTGTACAATGATATCCAAAATAATGCGTGTTATCATTTTTCTGGAAGGAGGTGTCAGTGGGATTTTCCACTGACAACACTTCCTCAAAAAAACAAACAAAAAATGATATGTTCCATAATTATGATGCATCGAAAAAAGATCACTTCCCCGTGGATTTTTCTGCATGAGTGGGTTGTCGAGTAGAACATAGCAACTTTTGTTTTGGGTGGTAAATGTAACTCCGAACAGATGAAATGTTTGCTCTTATAGCTCATATTTCCAGGATATCTTTTCCATAAAAGTAACTCGATTCACTCTTAGTGTACAGGCTGGAAATAAACTAATCGTTGCTTCGCTTTTGACACGATGACCGTTCATCAGCCGAGTGTATCGCTTTCTACCAACTTGTGCATGGTACCTGGAGATTAATCTGCAGACGGGAGATTAGCTTTGGAGGTCTTCTGGCGCATTTGAATGGGTTTACACTAGTTTCAAGCAACACCAAGGCTTTTCTTCTGTTTGCGTTTTCTGAGCATGGACCTGTTTACTTTAATTCATTATTTTACACGCATGTACATAATTGACCAGGAGTGCATAAACAGCTTGAGCGACCTATTAAATATGTACGGGTTACAAAATGATATCCTCGTCAAATACTCAGAGGTTCTGCTGGTAGTTTCATTTTTTCGTCAGAAAACCATCTGAAATCATCAGAGCTTCCACTTTAAAGTACAAAATAAAGACTTCAGATGTCCGTTTTTTTGTCACAAGCACAATAGATCGATGTAAAAATCAGTAGGGCTCCCTTTTGTATGGACTAATTTTCAAAAAGTGAAATGTGCGATATACGTCGGGGTATCATGCACCAATCTAGAGCGAGCTAAATCACTGGTTTTCCAAATGTCAACCTCAACTCCATTTGTCGCCTTAATTGGTTTTTTACTATATGATTCTGATTTTTTAGCACAACACATTAGGCCTAAACCTAATGCCTTACCACAGGAATAATAAACTGTATGGGGTCCCCAAGGAAAAGTGTAATCCTTATTTTGAACACCACATGCCTACAAGCGCGGCTTGTAGATAGGAGATTAAGCCTGAGATGGTAACGAAGTTGTGATTTAGAAATGGTGCCGGTCTTTTGCAAATGCACTTTACACTTTGGCCCTGTTTTGTGTCACACCCATTTGGATCTCAATCAGTGAACCCAAAGCTGGTTCGCGATATCCATTAGGCGGGTTCTGGTGTCAGTGAACCAACGACGGACCACTGATCGCAATCCGGATCCGCTTGAAACAAACAACAGGTATAACTACAGCGGTTCATGGTACCCTGAGTCCTTGAAGGTTGCTTATTTCACAAACTTGGAATGGAACCCAGCTGTTGATTTTGACACAATGGCTGAGTTCGGGCGGCTTGTTCTCGTTTGTTCACGAACAGCTCGATTTGTTGTTCGCGGGTCGGTCGGTCGAACGCCGGGAATGTACAGTTCAACCGGCTATTAACGCTAGTAGTTATTTGTGGCAAGCAGCATGCAACATGGCAGCATCCTTGTGCATTCTTCGAGAGTTAATGTTGGATAACTGGGCTAACTTCTTTTCTCTTTAAAAATTCATTACTGTCATGAAAAATTATTAATGTTAAATTTGCAAAACTTTCTATTGTCTTCGGCTTTGTAAAGCCAAATCGATACTTTTGCGGCTGTCCCAAAATCAAATCTCACGAGTTTTTCCGTGTGTTCGTGTAAAATCCTGACGAGGAGCTGGTGTGTGATCCTGTTCCGAGATCAGTGTTCTTGGGTCGTGTTCCCGCCGTTCGAGTGCGAGAACACGAGGCCCGTGTCAAGAACGGACCGCCCAAGCTCGACCAATACGCTTGACGCGAGAGTAGGTTTTCGATACTTGACTTCGTGCATCATGAATCCATCTACACCAGAACGTTGTGGCTGTGACGATATTAGAGGGGTTCCCAAAATACCAAAGTGAAAAGCACTCGGAGAGTCTGGGAGAAAAATGACCTCGAAGTTTGTGCCTCCGTACATGTTTAATGAGTCGCTAACACTGTTTTCCGCCATGGCTATTTATGCACGCATCTGTGCATATAATCATTAGGAAAACGGGTCATTCTGACTGATTGAGTGTACATTAAGTAATTAATTAATTAGGCAAATGCCTCGAGAAAAGGGAAGACACCTCCTACACTGTCACAGGTTCATTGCGCCTCCTTAGCAAAGTATATCCGGAGATTGCAAGACGACGTAAACTACCTAGAACAAACATCAGGCTATTTCTGCCCACACGCAATGCCGCAACCAGTATTTAAAAACGCAGCTTAAATCGTGGAAGGCCAAATCGTGTAGGGAAATCAGGTGACAAATGCAGATCTTACCGAACCTTTATAACCATATCCAAAAATTCGGTAAAATTGGCTCTGAAAAAATGTCAAAAATGATTTTGGTAACATGATCATGGGTGGGTGCTTAATCCGAAGTTTCTCTCTGAAAGTAGCAGTGAAGAAGCTAGGATTTGACGAGTGTTAGGGGGCAAAGGGAGCACCAGCATCTTAGGGGGGAGGGGCACCAGCTTTCAGTGGTGTGGTTTGGGGGCAGGTTTTGTTAGCCTTATTCAATATCCATTCATCCGTTTCTTTTTTTTTGTTCAGTGAAGGGGGCACATGGGGGACCGGAAATTTTGGGCGGGGCCCACGTGCCCCCCAGACCCCCCTGTGGCTACGCCACTGGATAGTAGGAGTCGTTTTGGTATGGGACTCAAACTGTTGAACGCTTTTACCCCTTTTTTCAAGTGTTCTGCATTCTGTTCAAAGACCAAAGTTCAATTATCTAAAAGTTGACACGGCCAGACATCACACATCATTTACTTCACCCATTTAGTCCTCCACGTGACCACCATTTCGTTCAACACAGATTCGTGCCCTTCTCAGCATGTCAGAGACAGCACGCATGATCATTGCTCTGTTTTGCCTGAGAGCATTGACCTCGGCAATGATCCTTCCTCCAAGGTCATTCAGGTCCGCTGATACACCCTGTATACAGAATTCGAAAAAAAAATGACAAAAACATCAGACCAACGGGAGAGAAAACTTTACAATTTCCCGTTCAACTAAGGTCATTCAACTCGATGAAAAGTAATGATTTCAGATGTACAGAGCCGGTACACGTATGTTTAGGCCTATACGTGTTGTTCTAGACTATAGGAGGATGTTAAAAGGGAAACCTTTTGAGTTAATGTGCACAACAGTTTAAATGCTGAAATGAAAGTAAATAGGCAAAGTTTATATCGATATCATAAAAACCTGCCGGGGTGAAGCATGTCGTAAAATCATATGTGCCTTTTCTAAAAAGGTGTTGATAAGCCAGATCAAAGTCGATCATGACAAGTAGTAATCTGTGAACCAGTGTACGTAAAACAAACTCACAAGGATCCCAAAATGCCACATGCAGTATTTTCATGTTAACGTTATAGAGGGCACCACTGCAAGATACAGTTTCTGACGATTTGACATCAAGTCGTACAGTTTTGCATTGTGTCAAGCATTGAAATTGAATTACCATCCCATGTGAGTCTGGTAATTGGTGGACCTGACTAACTCTAATGGAGGCTGTACAAATAAAGCCCATAGCGTTACTTTTTGGGGGAAAAAAGAAAGGCGGTGATCCTCCATTCTGGCTTGAACAACCATTGTCTCCTTCAGTGATCAAGGCCACCGTGTCGTTACCAACGACGCCAGCGCCCCCATCAGGCAACTGGACCCTGAAGGACTCGGACGGTTACGTCTGCTTGCGGATGTCCTTCTCCGCGCAGTGCACGGTCATCGACGGCAGCAGGGTTAGTAATATGAAATAATGTAGTCACAAATTCCCCCGAATGATTTCATGTCGCTTGATTTCAAGATGCTACCATCAGTTTGACACTACCAAGTTTCTTTTTCCTCTGTTACAAGGAATCCTCCACTCCTCACCCCGAAACGAGGCGGTAAACCGTACCCTAGGCCTATTGGTGTTTTTCATTCTTTCAAAACCATTATGCTAACATTTTGTTCATGGCATTTGTATCCGNGGAAAGAAATGCCACCCCGTCTTTGTTACTCGTAGCCTTTCAGTGCAAACCCAAAGTCATTTAGTTCCATTTCCATCCAATCCGACTACCCACCGCTACTTATAAGTGAGGCCTGTACAGCACAATATAGCCATGGGAGAACTATATATGATGCTAATTATATTTTCGTATGATGCAATACAGTAGGCAATCTTATAAGTGAAGCTAGTAAGTATCACGAAATTTTGCAAACAGAAGGCTCAAACAAGCCTCACTTATAAGTGTGCCTACTGAATTGCTTCACACGATAATATATTAGCGTCACAGTTAGCGCAGGGCTCTTTTGCTGCACAGGCCTCGCTTATGAGTAGCGGTGGTTAGTTGGATCGGGTGCCGTTTCGCTTCTTTCTTTGATCAGTTGGCCCTTCAGTGTTATGATTTACTTTTGAGAATATTAAAGCCCTTGATTTCTGCCACTCGTATCTCCTTAGCAGTACAGTTGTGACTATGGGAAATCCAAATACAGCTGTCCTTTCATTACTCTCTTCAGTGAGGGTAACCAATCCAGAAAAAAAGCGATCGTTTTCACAAGACAATGAAGACATTTTCCGTTCAGAGGATGGGAGGAAAACCCCTTATAGATCAATCAGTGTCAGGATTTTCTGCAGTTTACCCAGAAACTGTACCTTGATCTTTTTTTTTCTCCTATACAGCCATGAATGTTCACTTGGACCCAACAAAAGCGGTGGTTACCAACAAATGCGC